CAGGTAAACGTAACTCACTAGTTCAAGGCTGACGCTTTAATTGGGGCGAACCACCAATAGTTAGCCACTTTTCATTTCGATCGCGTTTTTTTGTTTGCAGCGTCTAGATGACCGTGGGAACATGGTAGTCAACTGTGACGGTGTGCTCATTCAGAACAATGCCTTTTGGCCTCTCACCTCTGACCTTAGCAATATCCTATCCCACAAGGTGGTTGCTGATGTTCTAGTTGAGGATGGAAAGTTCTTGGCGCTCTGGACTGACATTCTCAAATTCATGCAGGTCGGTCTTAAGGTTCACTCAGCGTAATCATTATATCCCTGCTATGATCGTGCTCATTATCAGTCTTAATTTGCGCCTAGTTTATGAACTGCTTCTCTATGAAGGAAGGCAGTCACATTGAATATGAAACTATGGCCTGTTATCACGGGCTGACTATGGAGATTGAAGTCAGCATCAGCATTATGTGGTACATATGGGATCACTATCGAAGTCCTGTAAGTTGATGGAGGTTTTCGCCCTAGATTCTAAATTTTGCATAAAGATGTGCCTTTGTGTGCTTGTGAGTGCTGAATTATTGTTTCGCACATTTAAGTGGCCACTTTCATGTGATTGGTTGATTTTATGGTGCGTAGTGGGTGTCTGGTCAGTAATTTTCTACAGACACCATCACGATCTTTTTTTTGACATCATTGTTTTCAATTTGAGTTTCCTTGCAAGCGCTACAGGCATTCCCAACTCCAAATTTTGTGACACTACCTCGTGTAGCTTGAGTGAGAAACACTCAGTTTTGCCCCATTTCTGTCTGTTTTCGCATTTCTCTGGCAAGGTCAACGTTAATAGGTCACTGTTCTCGCATGTTTGTACTGGCTTTTCATTGCTGAGTCCGTTATGTATTCGGCACATTTGGGACTGAATTTGGATGCGCTCATACTTTAAATTCGTGGGCCACTTTGAACAATTATACTAAATTAGCACTGTTCATACAACAGCGTTAAACTTGGAGTGCGCTACGCCATATTGAACCTATTCTCCTTTTTATATGGTGCTAGAATTCTAGTGTTCAGTCCAAAAAGTAATTTCTGTTTTCGGTGTAATACATAGCAGTGGCTTGTTATTATTTGTAGTATCAATTTGATGGACATTGATTTATAGAAGTGCCGGAGGCCTAAAGGTTACTAACATGGCCTGGAGACCACGTAGGGACGTGTTGAAGTACTTGCGCAATCAAATGCAGAGTTTGATCGCCTTATTTCGAGCCTACTATCCCGTGGATCCACCTTTGGTTAGGGTCAAAACCTGCAGAATCTCTGTTTTTGTCAACTAGCATTTGGAGATGCTTGTTCCAAGTTCTGCAATTCTCTGGCCTTTATCATAAGTAGGTACTTGTCATCTCCAATTAATGGAGCTAGGCATTAGCAGTGCTAAGAGTAACTTTCGGTATCTTTTGCATTGTGGGATACAGAATAGATTGTTTGTACCTGCATAAATTGGAAGGTCGTGGAAGCAAAAGTAATGGATGGTACCCGCACTAACGAATTCGGCTTCCTTTGAAAGTTTTCTGGAAATTATTATTAGCCTCGTATTGGGAGGTGATTTTCGAGTACTCATTTTATGCGTTTTACGTAATCCCGTTTCCATAGCACAACTCTAAGATGATTTCTACTTCATGCTCACAAGGCCATTGGGTGTTCGTTAAACTGCCACTCTACTGGTTCACTTTGATTATTTTCGTGAAGATCAAAGATACAGACCTACCTTCTATCTGTGCGAGAAAATTTTGACTTCAGAAGTCGGACAAATTTGAATTCCCCATTCTTATTGCAGTATGTTGGCTATTGTCTCATTATGCATGGTGCGTAACTTGGTTGCAGGCAGCTTTACGCCTAAGGTGGAGATATTACCCTCTCCTCCTCCGCATTCCTGGGCTGATATTTTTCCAGGTGATCATCCTTTTCCTAGCATCAGTCCTGGTCACTCACGTGATCGTATGCAAAGTAAACAGTTGTGAAGTAAGGGAAAGATGGGAACGGCGATTCGGGATCGTTGTTTTTACTAGCGTTTAGGGACAAAATTAGATGTAAGATGGAATTCCCAGCAGGATTGTCTGGTTGGAGGTGAATGACGGGCAGTAGCTGTAATTGCTTGACTGAATAAGAAGCGATGCTCCCGCAATTAGGCAACTTCTTTGGAAGGAGTGATGGAAACTTATTTGGGCCACCTTGCTCACAATTATTGCCTCCTTACAGCCAATTTTTCAGTTTCGTGTTATGCTCTATTATGTACTATGGCGCATTTAATTAAAGAACTAGCTCTCGAAAGGCAAATTGAGTTTACGAACCTGTTCACAATGGACGAATTTCTTATACCTAAGGTTCTTGTCTGTTATCAACAATTTCATTCTTTTTGAAGGCAAATCCGTGTTTGCATTTTACTCAGTGTTGCAAACTTTGCTTTATCACATCTCATGAATTTGCAACAGCCTGCTTGTTTCTTCCTTGTCCACCTTTGGGTTTGTTGAACTGAATCCTTTTCCTTGACATTTTAGCCTGAAAAAGAGCATTGCCTCATGTACACCCGGGCTTGCATCTCAGCATTGGCCCATCAGCTGACCTATCTTGGGCGATTGGTGGCCAGTTCGACCCAGTGGGCACACCCTATTCGGGGCCCCCTTAGTCTCCACTTGCCTCTCAGTCGGCATGCTGCCTGTTTCCTCTGTCTTGCCGTGTTCACACATCGCGCGAGTGTAAGGGAACTCATGGCCCCCTTCCTAACACCCAATCCAAATGTTCTACGTCGTCTCATGGAGGAATTGGCTAATGTGTTGGTGGGTCGACTTTACTTCCTCTCCCTTTTTAATGTCCTCTCGATAACATTTTCCTTCATGTCTTGCACTGATTTTTTGGTAATGTCCATTTAAAGGGTTAATTTATCTTATTGTTTTCTAACGTCAGCTCGGCTGCCACGAGGTTCTCATTGGCTACTGGATTCGAAACGGTCAGCCCGTTCGTCAGTCCGTCCTGCATTATATGCAGAGCCAGATGTGCTATTCCATGGTGGATTTGGACATCTTTCTCTTTCAAGTAAGCATTCCCTCCGATCGCAACCCATTAAGGCTCTGATGCTGATCTCATGACTCAAACTACTGTTTTTTAGTGCAACTGGCATCTCATTTGGCTTTTTTTTAAAAGGTTTGCGCAGCATTGATGCATCCAGTATACATCCTCAATACTCTGGTCGACCAGTCTCGTCTGTTGCAGAACTTTTGCTTCCATCGGGAGTTGATGGCACTCACTAGACCCTCTCTTATGAGCATCACTGTGGATCGTCAGCCAATGGCCGTTGAGGCCTGGCTCACCAATCTCTGTTGGATTTTGGATCTTCGTAATAACCTTGGTGAGTAGATGAAAACATCAATTCACCACTGATAGCTCTGTGATCCCTGATTTCTTTAACGATGTTTGTTGTGGCTTTGCTGTTACAGGTCTTTCAGAAACGGGTCTCATCGAAAAGGAGTTGGTCTGCTTCCTAGCTCCTGAATCACGAAAACGTAGTGATCTCTCGTACCTCCTGCCTGATCGCTGTCTTCCACAAAACACGGACATCATTGATGAGTGTCTTCAAAAGGTAGCCTATCTCTTTGCACGTTACATGATATGACAAACGTTTGATGATTGCGTTTTTGAATGACTTTTCCTTCTCTTTTCCTGCTCAGGTTGCAACGTACGTGGCACCCTCCTGTGATAATATGTCAGGCTCACTACTTAGTGGACATTATTCCCTGAAACCGGAGTTATGGCATGAGAAGTTTGATCCCGTCTTCTACACCCTTCGCATGACAAGCAAGCGGGAGCAGGCTTCTGCTTTGGAGAAGTACCGGCTACAGTGAGTTGATTAGTTCATTCTCCATGCTTTAATTGCGTGTCCCTCCTACTGTCGAATCATCTATTTTGTTTGTTTCCAAGCTGCCGTCAAATGGGTAGTGCTCAAAACACTTCAGCGTTTTGGCCTCCCTACCGTTTGCCCATGGATCTGGCGCCGGATTTCGCTGATCTGGAAAACGTCTTGCATAGTCGGCATTTGCATTATCTCCTCTTCTCCCTCCTCAGTTTGGTATATTCTTCCTTTTCCAATGCACAAGTATTTGTTTTGATTTTCTGGCACTTATTTTCTATATTTTCAATGAAGGTTGATAATTGGCGGAATGGTTGGACAGTGAGGCCTTTCAACCTGATCCAACTCAAAATAAGCTAGCCTTCTAAGTTGGTGCGAATGTGGATTTAGGGTACAATTTTGTTCATCTTCAAGTAAAAGTCATTTCTACCCCACATGCATTTTAAACTCTGAGGTTTGATTTTTCATGTTTGTCTTATCCAAAATGCTTTCACATGGCTAGAAAATTGGTATGTGAATGCGCTTTAACAATTCCATTTGTGTATTTCTATCTGTTTGCATCATTGAGTCAGTAGGGAA